CCCTCTCCAATTGTGATCACTTCGTCAGTAGTTTCTCCTGCCCTCCAATCACCACCGTCTCCGCCATCCGTTAATTGAATTCTGAGGTCGCACTTGCACGATCGACCAAACTCTGGACTGAAAATCTCTCTGGCCCTGGAAATCGAGACTTAGTCTGGGTCTCGGATGGTAGTCTGAACATGAGCAATTATGCTTTGTTATTTGTTTATGGCCATTTCGATTTCCATTTGTTTATAGAACTCAATTTGCGCGAGAGGAAAATTTAGTCGAGAGTCGGGTCTCCATCTCGATCTCAAGTGGCGACTGCTCAAATATTTGCGAACGAGTCGGGGAATTCGAGGAACCGGCACGAATGGCCATTCCAGAGGCTCCAAGTTCAAAATCACATACGAATATGCCAAGTATTATTCACTTAACACATACAAACTGCGCTAGTTGAAAATCTTTTTTGGCCTCAAGATATATGTATGGTTAGTATTTCATAACACTAATAATGTCAAGTAGAGTAGAATAAAGATAGAGCAGATGCAATATCTCTCCGTAAATTTACCCCAGTTTCATCATTGTTTCTACACCAAAGTACATGCCACTCCATGCGCCGGGGCCTTAGAATTCCGGATGCGTCGCAGACTCGGTGGTCAACCCTTTGGGCTTGAATCAAGTGAATCAAGTGACGTTCATTGAGTTGACTTGCGGTTAGGAAATTGAATTAAAGCGCAATTGCATTTCCTGTCGAGTAGAAAGTCGCGCGCACGCACCGTAAAATCCGTAGAATCACTGCACATAAATCCCCCTTGTAATACGGACCTGTTTATTACGCTCAATTAGAAGGCAATTATGGTATAATTCGAGTGTGTATGTCCTATCAGATCTATTCTTTTGGTTCTAAAATCTATAAATGTAAAGGTGTCCTATAAAAGGCCATATGGCGTCTGAGATATAGAAATATTGTTTTTTTTATGTGCTTTTCGAAAATTACTTACTTTAGTAAATCAACTATTTGGTGTCTCAATAATGGCAGCTGGCAATTGGAATTATGCTATAGTTCAGTTAATATTCATAGGCTTTTCAAATGTACCATCCCAAATATCAATAGAAAAGCACGTACTCTTATCGCCAACTTGTATCAATACATGCGATAAGATAACGAAATGAGTCAGGAGTGATTAAAACAACACCCATTTGACATAATTCTCGCAGGATGACACATGCGTGTTTCGTTACCAGCGCTTTTCAAACGTATTACTCCATGCAGTTTACACAGCCGAATGGCATTAACTGTAAACTTAATGACTAACTGGAGTATTTATGTCTGGGGAAATCAGTCATGGTGGAAGTTTGAAAATTACAGTTTTACCTCGATACAGTTTTTCCACAAGCTTTGCAGCTATTTAGCGAATCTTATCTGTTGCAAAACTGTCGCCGACTTTCTTCGAAAGCCCAAAGGTAATTGTTAAAAGCGAATTTACCGCAAAAGCTCATTGAACCTTAGGTTCAAGCGCCTTAAAAAGCGAAATAGATGTAGAATGTAGAATGCTGAGGCCACTTGACGGGGTTAATGTTTTTAGCCTGCTCTTTGCTTTCTACAACTTGAAACTCGTGCATTTGCTTCGCTTTTTGTTCTCCACCCCACCACCACTTGGCACAATTTTCGATCCACCTTTCGTAAAAGTAAAAGTTCCTTAAGTGAAACATATACCATATCTTAGAAATCCGAAAGATTTCCATGTACGCATCTGGACCTTTTCTGTGATATTTATTTGATATTTTCTTATTGTTCATTTAAATTTGTAGTAAGGATATCGTTCGTTTTCCGGAGTCTTGACTGTGGCTTGAAGAAAATTTCAAATACCTTTTTGTAACAGTGACTGGGGTTTGCACTTTTTGCCGTTCCGAAACAGTTTTTATGGCAAACGCAAACTAAAAACAGATTTTTATTTAACGTTTGCTTTCCATCGACGTCATTTAACCTTGAAATATCGAAATACGACGATGACGAGCAGCGGACATAATGGATACGGATATATGGCAAGGTGTCTGCCAATTTAAATACGTACACACACATGTACATACATCTACATATCTAATTTATTAACAAGGGGGCGTTTGTTCACAAATCTACATTGCTAATTTATATTCCCCCGGGGGAATTGCAAAGAAAAAACGAGAAAACAAGAGCAAAACACAAGAATGGAGAGATGCTAAATTCTTGTTTGGGGCTTTGATTTGTTTGTGTTCTGTTTGTTTTGCTTTGATGCGTGGGCTGCGTTCATCATGATCAGCGAGAAAAAAATTAGCAGAAGAGAGCTGAAAGAGGGAAGAATTCTTTCTCTCCATTTGTTTGAATTCTGTTTTGACTTGTCCCGCAGCAGCAGCGCATTTGCAAAGGCAAGACGCAAACAGTTTTTCCTGCTCTCCCTATTGCTTTTTGTTTTTTTATTACTTTGAACTTTATGGCGGTTCCAGAAACGCACACGTACACACTCCCGACTTTTGGTACATGTGAAAACTATATGGAAACACTTCAAAAAAATATGTGATGTGTGTAAGCGCACCTTAGTCGCAAGTTGGCCAAGTAAGTAGTCGCATTTATTTATATTAGCGGCTAAAACTAAAGGCACGCGAGCGGTCAGCCTGTTTCTCTACTCCACAGCCTTGTTTTTGTTGGGCGGCCAACCGGCGTAAGCGCGTGCAAATGACAAACTGAGCGCCAAAGCGGCGAACGGCAAACGCGACGCGAATGCTTAACCGCCGGCCAGAAGTCAGTGATGCGCTTTTGGCTATTATTGCGCCAGATTTCACGGGACTTCGTGGCACAAGCGCTTACTTAATACAGAACAAAGTTTAAGCGCATATTTATTGAGTTTTGCACAGCGCTGGCAACGAAACCCTGAACAACTAAACTGAAATTTAACAGGTCGTATGCGTAATTTGCTACAAAGGGTCGTTTACGCCATGTTAGATTATTTTACTTAGCGTTTTTCCGCCATTTTCGCCTCTCGTTCATCATTGTTGTAATCTCCCTTTTGGCGTGTTTTTTTTGTAACTGCTCTCCGCTCTCTTCTTGAGCGGATTTCTGTGGAACGAGCGCCACTTTGGCTGCGGCGACTTAGCGGCTGTGCCTCTCAAACGATCGCCAGCTCAAAACACTCAGAACTGAAAAAAATACCGCAAAGAAGGTGAAGAATTTTTGCGTTTTTAGCTGCACGCAGAAAAATTCTGCTTAAGTTGGCAGCTGGCCTCCTTAAATATCCCGCAAAAGTGCTGAAATCTAAGATTGTTATTAAAACCAAATGCAGAAAACTAAGAGGTTTTCATAAAAAGGTATAAAAAGGTTTTGAGAGAAGTTTCAAACTTTATTGCAGTTTGAACTTAAGTGTATTCTCTGAGTGTATGTCAAGTCGAAGTTGAACATGGATTTTAATTTAAATCTGTATCTGAATTTCTGGAGCTGCGCTTAATTGAACGATGCCACGCATTGCTTGACACTTGCCGCTTTTGAAAAGCCCCCGCAAAAAAAGTGGAGAAAGAGGGGCCGAAGAAGAGTGGAGAAGAGAGCAAATGGATGGGAATGGGGGAGATTGAAGAGGTGGACAGTGGATCAACTCAAATCAAATTTACTCGGCGGCAACTGCAAACATGCAGCACTTAGCGGTGCGCTTTTCAAGATTTAGGCTGTGTAAATATGTAAATATGTATGTATATAGTACAATCTAATGTTTAATAATGACACCATTAGCCTTTTTTTTAGAAATTGTCAAGGTTTTGGATAGAAGATAGATTTCTAGCCTAATCTACCTTAAACTTCACAGTTGTCTAACCTCTATATCTTACACTTAGAATAGGTGAACTCATTTCTGTATCTAAAAAATGTGTGGCAAATTGAGCATTTCATATTTATGGCTGTTTAGGAGAATTTATTGGCAAGCACGAGATTTAACTTGTTAAAATGGATGGCTGTGGTGTAGTTGAGTCATAAATATGGCTATTCTATTTAACGGATTTATGCTGCTTTTTGCCAACACATTTCTTTTTACCTGCACTGAAATTATATGCATGTTATGTTTGAAAATGTTTGAATAAGTGTAAAATTCTACATACATTCCTGATTCAAGCATGTCTTTTCGACTTAGATGTGTTTTTAATTCTTGCAAGCTTGATAATAATAGGATAATTCGTCAGATTCGTTTTTTGACAAATATATTTATTAACATGTCAATTTTTGAATGAATTGAACAGTGTTTTTACAATTCAATTGGTTTTCTCGCAGTGCCGCGTTTATTTTGCACAGGCTGATCAAGCTGACTGACTGACTTACTGACCATATATGCACATTAATAACTCGAAAAGGCTTTTAGAACGCATTTGCATGGCAGCCGCTGCTGCAAAAGCCGCAACAGCATTTAATTCGCAGCGAAAACAGCTCGTCGATCGCGCTTGCAAATCAAGTTAAGCAACATTTTAAAAATGCAATTTCAGCACGCCCGCCTGGCATTTTGCTTGGCTTTTATCTCTCGCTGCCTTTGGGCTTCAATTTGATATTATTTTCAGTTTTTGTTTATAGTAGCCGCCTGTTCAAAACAGCTGTGTAAGCCAATTGCGATTAATATTTATGTCTCATTGGCGAGCGCTTTGTTCGAGTAGCCGAGAAGTCGGCCATTTGATATGCCACCCTCCCGATGGAAATTGGATAAATGGGTTCTATTCCTGAGAACTTGAAATTATGACTAATAGTAATGTATTCAAAATCAAATTTACAGATTCTACTTAGAGCCTACTGCAAATGGTCAATGCCATGACAAAAATATAACTCTTGGCTTTGCATTTCAAAGTGCGATCTGTTTATTGGGATTTGACATACGTGTTCTACAGAAATTAAACGATAACTCAGCCTTTTAGGATATATGTATGTACGTGTAGGATTATTTGAAAACTCAGCTATTAACGATATGACGTAACTTTCCATTCAAGCCCTCAAATGAAATTATAGCTGTGGGCACTTTGTCGGTCGGGCCATTTATTTAAATTAATTAACTTAATCTAGCTTATGGTATATATATCTCCTCGATCGGTTCTCCCTAGATATATAGCTATATCAACATATGCGTAGCTCTCCTCAGTTCGTCGCATATCCAGAGAATATCACATAGTGTTTTCGGTATTTTTGTTTTTCTGTGTTTTGTGGGTGGCAGGTGGCAGGTATGACAGTTGTGGCAGAATTATAGGTATATATAGAGTACTATATATATGTTGGGGCTCTGCATACTTTTAGGCGTCCGCGTAGTCGATCACATCGGCGATTTGGACGGTCACATCGCTGCCGCCGGAGTGATCCGAGCCGGAGTCCATGTGCTCCATGGCCGCCAGGCTGGCGGCGCCATCGAGGCACTCGAAGCTGCGCCGCCGCCGATCCTTGACCTGTGACCTCTGACTGTAGGGCGGCGGCTGCAGCGGCTGGTGCGGCGGCAGAGTCTGCAGAACTTGTCTTTGGTTGCGCGTTGAGGTCAGCTGGTTGGGATGGAATTGCGGGGAGTTCTGCAGAGCCTGCCTCAGATCCTTGACAGCTCTTGGCGCCGTGGCGCTGGCCGAGCCCTGTGATCCCGATGGCGGGCGGCTGGTGGGCGTGGCACTGGGCGTGGCCCGCCACACGGGCGTGGCATAACTGGCCACCGTCGATGGCTGCTGCTGCATCGGTGGGCGTGTCAGGATGCGCATTGGCGTGGCATATTGATATGCCGGTGGCATGTCGCTCGTATCTGTAAAAATAATGGACTGGGTTAGGCAAAGGAATTACCAGTTAACTACACCAACATAGAGGGGTTATATATTTAATATAGATCTAGTTACGGTTGCAACACATAGAATACAATCTACACATACATCATACAAGTACATATACCGCTTATACGTTTTTTATAGAATTGGGAAGACAGAATTGGGAAGCCATCACCATGTTTTGGGTTGCACTTGGAAATATTTAGCTACGATTTGTTTTACTACCTTTGTGGGTTATTACGTTCCGCACTTGTGAATTGCCTTTTGCCATTGTGTGTTTGTGACTCGACTCCTTGTGTTTTCTTTTGTAATCATTTTGGGTGGATGTACAATAATATTTGGGTGCTTAAATTACGTACATGTGCGAGAGCAAAGTGAGGAGACACTTCAAAAAAATATATAAATATGTGCTATGCGTGTTAAAGTTGTGGTTAAGTTTATATGTGAGTATATCAATATAGTTATGATAATTATGCTCTTATGTGGCAACTTTTAAAATTATTCATTATTATTTACAGAACAATGTTCGGTTTGTGTAATCTTGTGTTCTTCATTTCTTTGTGCCAAGTCTCTCCAGAGATTTCCTTGTATGTTACTAACAATAGTCAATCTTTCAAGTTGAATAACCATTAACCGGGCTACATACGTAATTGAACATTTTGGGTTATAGGTACAATAATTATAATATTCGTGAGTAAGCACAGCCAAACAGAGGGGAAAGACTAGCTACTGCAAGCGATTGGGCATCGGCAGTAGGGGCCGGTGCGGATTGGTATCCATGGATTGCCCGGAACTATGGTTGTTGTTGGTGCCATGGCAGTTGTAGTTGTAGTTGTAGTTGTGGTCATTGCCGTACTTACTCGTCGCATTGATCGGCTCCGAGTACGTATCCTCGACGGAATGCAGCGGCGATGAGTAGTCGGCGATGAGCGGTCGCTGCTGATCGGGCTCCTGGTAGATGGGCTCATCATCGAATCCGCCCTCACTGGGAACAGAACTGGGCGCGCTGGGCGCACTGGGCATCGGTGGTAGTGCTGTGGCACTGGCACTGCCACTGCCACTGGAAATGAAGGCGTTGATGGCATATGCCTCGCCCGTCGAGTCACTGGCATCCACGTGACTCTGCGATATGTGCCTGAGCAGCAATCTTTCGATCAACTCGCACTTCGGCATGTTTTCCAGGATAAAGAAGATTCTCTCGTGGCACTCCGTCTTGCCCAGGTGACCGTTGATTAGCTTCAGTATACCCTTGCGCGCGACACTGCCATCGGGCAGTTCCATTGCCAGCTGGAGCAGTTGGTCGCGAATGTCCTCCTCGATTTGGCATTTATTAGTGGTCATGCCACCGCCAGCAGCACCACATCCACTGCGCCAAAGCTTGGTCGCCACCAAGACAACTATGAAAATCACTAGTAGGGAAATCATAATCCACTTGGCTAACTTCGTGATGGGCAATTTAATGGAGTTGCTGAACTGATCACTTGCCGTTCTGGTCACCCACTGGCCAACCACACAGTAACGAGTCCCATTGCTGCCACATGCCTCGTTGACATACCGGCGGATATCCGTATTGGTGGCATTGAAGCAGTCATGATCACGCTCCGCCACCTGGCACATGATTTCCGATTCCAGATCGTGATCGGTTAGCTGCGATAGCCAGGACTTGTTGCACGTGCACTCGTTGCCCACGCGCACCTGATGGACGCGACACGTGAAATTGAGGCTGCCCGCCTGCGGATTCTGCAGTATATTGTTGCGGAAACTGCAGTTCGTGGAGGCTATGTTCAGCTCGCAGCGTCCGTAGTCCTGGAAGCGATTATTGGCAATCTCCACTTGATCGGCCTGGCTGACACTCAGCCAATTGGGCTCCACGTGGCTCATTGAATTGTTGCGTATGAACAGACTAACGGCGGCTATTTGAATGGCATTCGTACGTATTCTGGTGATTCTGGATGGGCAAGAGGGGGAAGATGATTTAGCATGGAACTGGGAAATCGCCAAGGACATTGATGTAGACTCACGTATTTCCAAACATAATCATTGTGGTTATACCACTCTGGCTTATCGCCTGACCCTCAATCGTACCGATCACCGTGTCCAGAATGGCCACCTTGTCGCTGTGCAATTTGTTGGTCAGCGCCTGGGACTCGATCACCGCGATTTTGCAGCCCTCGATGATCAGCTCCTTGATGCTGGTGACGTCGAAGGCATTGCTCATGATCATGTCGATGTGGCAGCGCAACAGGCTCACCTTGCCCATGGACACGCCGAAGATACCCAGCTGATTGATGTACGAATCCTCGACGCGCAGCTGAAAATCCATCGATTGATTAAAATACTCCCATTTTCAACCCATTTTAGTTACTTACGTTTATTCCATACTTGGCAACGCCGGGATTGAAGGCGTTCTTCATAATATTCAGCTGCTTGATTCGCTTGAGGGAGCAGTCCAGATTGGTCATCTGAAGGGCATTGGAGAACACGGATAGCTGTTCAACATCCTCCACCAGCAGCTTGTACTCCGCACCTGAATTCAAAGTCTTGGTTAGTTTGTGCTCTGATCCAGATGGCAAATCATTTGAGTCACCTGTCAGGAATTTCTCACGCAGGAAAACGCGCAATACGTTTCTTATTTCGATGCTGGGATAGCCACCTTTGTTGTGGCTAAATGCATTGCTGGTTATTTCCACCTGGTCATCCTTCCCCACTCCGATCACACCGAAGTAGTTCACCTGGTTGTCCTGGAAGAAGTTCTCGTACATCACGAACTGGGTGCCAGCAGTCAGCCGCACCTCGATGTATTTGATGTTCAGCGGCACCAATAACTCGTCGTTAAATTCGTTTGGGAGCTGTTAAACAATAAATGAAATGTTTCAACCACTTTGTGATACAACCTGATAACACTGTACAACTAAAGCTAATAGCAGTGGCTTTATCTGCAAATTTATGTGATTTACGGGCATATGACTGGGAAATGGAGGCGCTTTTTGACCAGGCACTTTCCGCAGCTATTGCATTTTGCTTCATTTTATACTTTGTGGATGAGCTGGAGCTGCTGTTGTCGCCGGGGGTCTGTGCCGCTTGACTTACATTTCTTGCGGTCTGTGCTCCTCACCCTAGTGCTATTTTTAAACGCAGTGTCTGCGACAGCAACAATGGGAAATGCAGCAACAGCAACAGCAACAGCAGCAGCAGCAGCAACAACGCAGCAACATCAGACGACAACAACGGCAACTTGACCGCAACGTTCATTGCTCCATGGAAGGAGCCCAAGTGTGGAACTCGAACTCACATTCGAACCATCACCCGAGGGTGCAATTTTCTCATTAAATTAAGTGAAAATAGTTGCAACCCAAAGTACTGGCGCTGGCTGACGAGCTGTCCACCACGGCATATGGTCGCAAATGATGCTGGATGGCGATGGTCGTGTTGCTGATCACACTGAGAAGCCCAAGATCTTGCTCATTGCGTTAATGAATCTGGATTACCTCGGCCCTTAAGTGAATAGAAAGCCGACCAGAGCAGAGCATTTCTCAAGAAATCCCCCAGATTCACTGTGCTTTCTGATTAGCTTAGTTCACTTCGAAGTGATGCCGTTAAATTATATGAAAATCAATGGGAAAAGGAAATCTGAGTACAAATTGTATATTCTAAAACCGAAATTCTTATGGCGTTGACTAAAAGATATCTACGATATCTAGCTTAGATATCTACGACTACATTTAAAAGGCGTAGCATTGTGCTAATTATCGCAATACGCATTAATCGACCTATTGTCCCTCGTTTATTTAGATTTGCTTGGTTTTTTACGGACGTGAGTAAATATTCGAGTAATATTTGCCCGCTACTTGCGAAATACTTGCAATAAAATAACAAAACACAAGGCTAAATAAATAAATTATTGAAAGCCTTATCAGTGAAAAATAAACGAAAATGTGAGCCCTATACATATGTAATGTCTGACTAATGCTGCATATTAGCACAACCATTACCAACCCGTTGCCATATTGGTAGTACTGTGACGGATTGGGCTAGTACGCACTTAACATGCACGGCTCGATCTGGAAGTCTGGCCACCTGCTCCTTTGTCTGGCCTGCAGTGGGTTCAATGTCTTTGGATCCGAACCTGGATCTGGATCTTGGGTAACCCACTACGTCGCTCGCTGGTTTCTTGCCGGGATTTGTGGCCTGCTTTGTACATATGCATATGTTTTTACTATCATCATTATTATTATTAGGATTTTTATTTTTATTTGTATTCTTCTTTTTATTTGTCTGCGCTCTTCCTGCTGAATGCCCCCCTTTTTTCTTCTCGGTCTGTTTGTTACACGCCTTTGGGCGCAATTTCTTTCAATTGCTCCAGTTTCTCGCTCTTTTCTCCTCCTAAAGAGGAAGTCTCAATTACGTGTGAGTTTTAATTTGCTTGTTTGTCTGACAGACAGTTTTTCCAACCGCTTCCCGCCCCCATTTCCCCCCTCCCGCCCATTCTACGCCCATCTTTAACATTCGGTTTCAAGTTTATGGGAACCATCAGTCGACAAGGAAAAACAAACAAAATTGTGGCCAAAAGATCTGAACAAGTTTATGAAGTTCCATCTCGTCAGCCGACGTCCATATATCGTCACAGTTTTAAACATACATGCGTAAATCCATAGCTTTACATATAGCGAAAAATTACATAAGATTAGTCATACATTCTATACAAAAGAAGAGAATTCAGTATCACAATGGTTATATCTTGCTTTAATTTCACAATATACCTTCAGGCAGGAGGTATTCCTTATAAAAATGTTTCTGCCTGTGTAGATTGGGCTATATATTGAAATCTAGGCTCTATATATAGAACCTCTCACTCTTTAACCGATCCGAACCGATATATCTAAGGGCGCTTTTCTCCAAAAGATTCCGTCTCACAATTTTCACATTTTCCGGCCATTTTTTCGTCGGCGACAACTTTAAGCGATATATTTTTGGAACGGAATCATATAGTATGGAGTTTTGGAAGATATAGGATGGCTGGGGGGCGGTGCGGCGAAAGGCGTGGCAGACAAGCGGAAATAGCTGCCGTCGCCTGGCTGGAAGTGCCAAAACCAAAAACAGAACATAAATAACCAAACAAAGCCAATTAAAAATAAATTATGATCCACCTCTCGCTCTCTTTCAGTATCTGTATCTATATCTCTTCATTTCTTTATATATTTTATGTGCCCAAGAAAACTGAAAACCGAAAGCCGAAAATTCAAATGGCATGCTGGTCACATGGCTGGAAAATGGTGGGAAAAGGACTTTCCCAACCCATTTCCCAGGGCACAAACACATGTATGCCCTTTAGGGAGTGCATCCAGTGTGGTATCGGAGAAATGTTTGTATTCAAGATACAACCTTGACACGTTCGTGTGGAAAGGTGCCACTTCGACGTGACTTGCTGGCCAAGAACTCTTTTCTCTTCTGAGTAATCATAATGCGCAGATAAGACATCCGGCAGTTTGGCTTTGAGGCGCTCGAGAACTAATTAGATAATATTGCTTTCTGCGTTTTACTACAAAACAGCAGCTGGATTGCAAATGCATTCTATTCTGTGTTCTGCAAAAACACCTACGTTTTTTATGAGCAAATGTTTTGACACATCATCAATGAAAATGTACTGCGAAAATGTTTATTTGGTCGAACGACACTGAAATATCCTTCTGTTTACCAATTGCGTGATTATAAACAACATTTATGCAATTTCCTTCTGGATGGCGAATCAAATTAACTTTGTTTATCGAATGTCTGGAACTCGTATTATAAATTAAAACAGAAAGTACCATTTTCATATCTCACTACCCTTCAATTTTGTTGTATATCCTATGAATTTTCTACCAAATACGGATGTATAAATTAATCAAGAATGATATAACGATTTTTTGTTGAAATTACATCATCCAAAATGACTTGGTAACATACTTGGGATCATAGGGACTCCCGCTTTAAGGATCACAGATTGTATCTGTATCTGTAGATCATGCATATGCAGATACCTCCTAGCGCCCACCTGTTATGGCCCACCTCATTGCATTCGCACTCATCTTTTCCCGATTTTCCTCAACGTTTCACCAAAGTTAAAATCGCCGCTCGAATTACCCACCCAAAATTGCGAAGTTTTTAAAAATATCAAATTAGAACATAGCAAACACATTCAACAAAATAATATTTGCATTTCAAATACTGAAAATTGGTCATTTACAAAGTATGCACATTTTTTAGTTTTATACTAGTAATTTGTACTAATAAATATACTAAATAGTTTAAAAACTTTATATGCAACCTGTTTGTTGCAAAATTGAATCACTAACTTCAAATATATTTTCCACTTACAAAATTAGAGTTTTCACTTGGTGGCAATCGAGGGCAAATAATACAGACTGAAAGTCCATAAACTTCTGAAGTGAAGAACGTATTTTGTCAAATTTACAATATATGAGCATACGTGTGCACACATACAGTGATCGACTGTCGCTGTATGCGTACACGACTTTGTTGCTGGTTTATTGTTGTTATCGTGAAACGAGCATTCAATTTGTGGCAATTGATGGATTTTTAGCAGCTCACAGCCATAACATTTGGTCCCAAGTAGTTTAAGTAGCCATTCGAAACGGGAATTTAAGTAGGCGCATTCCACTAAAGTAGGAGCACTCGAAACGAAAATAAGCCGCCACCTCAAATTCGTTTTTCCTTGCACAGCTAGAAAATGTTGAAAAATACTTTCGCATTTCGTGTTCGCATTTACTTGAAAAATAAAGCAGCTAACCCAAGGAGCTCCAGTACTGAAAGAGATTAAATACCTAAGCCATTAATATTTACGTGGGCAATTGTGACCCAGCATTGATGTCAGTTTTTCTCGCAGTGTTCGCGGTGCACTCCAGCTGCCGACACTACATAAGAGGTCTCTCTGGCTTATTACTGTCAATCAATAGATTTCAAGGGGGCTATTTGGGCCGGAAAAGTGGGTGGAATGCATTTCCACTTGGTTCTGTTGCTATCCACCCGTTTTCGGTTTTCATTTCGCTTTCGGTTTCTGTTCACTGAGAGAACTGCACGCAGAGAACTGAAACTGAACTGCAGGCCCACGCGGCAAATAAATAAATACAATTCTGTATCTATAAGATGATGACACATGCGGCGCACATACTCGAATTCTCGAATTCAATCGCTCACAAAGAAGCGATAAGTGGCAGAAGGAGGGGGTGGGGAAAGTGTCACCCACATCCGCTGGAAAAATCATATTAGTTCGTCCAATTGCTAAGGAAGTGCAGAATCCAATGGCTTGGAAGGCGATAGAACGCTTATCTGCATCTATTGTGGAACTAGAAGATATATTTTTGGATCGGAGCGAACAAAACATGCATAGGTCATATGTCTTTTCTATATACATACATTATACATATAAATACAGATCTTGACGAGCGGAAAAGTGGAGCATTTGGATTATTGATTGCTGATTTGTGTGGAGAAACGGCTTTTAGTTCTTAGAACGGCACTCTGATTTGTTTTCTAAACATATTGTGTTAATAAATAACAAATAAACAAATTTCAAATTGTACGTATTCCCTGCTATATGGAATTATATGTAGATATACATATATATGTGTGCACGTAGTCCGAATAATTATCATAATTAATAAGTGACCTTCATATTTCTTATAATCGAAATAGTTGCTTTATAGTTGCTTTCAATTAAAAATGACAAGTATAACACTAAGTGCCTGCGATGGCAAATCGAAGTAAATCATTATTTACTAAAGCCCCTTATCGGTGTGGAAATTCAATTATAAATAGCCATCGCTTGCACTTTCTATAATCTTATTATTATTGTGAACTGTAGTTCATGCAGTTTTCCTCTAAGTTGTAGATAGAATAACCAAACAGATGATAAGCAAGTAGATAGATAAAGATCTAGTCTCTATCTAGTGTGTTTAAGAATCCGATCCAAAAATTCAGTCTGCAATCACTTGCTCACTGCTTTTATTTTCCAGAGAGCAGCAGCAACTGCACACAAACACACTCACACACACACAGGCACACCTGACTCATTAGCATAACCTGTCAAACGGGTTGGCGGGGCGAAGAGGGGGGGTTGGGGTAGGGCGTGCGTTCCACCTTGTAGAGGGGGCGGCAAGGGGAAGGGGGAACTTTTATTTCATTTCATTTCATTCTTTCATTCATTTTGTTTTTTGCCTTTTGCTCTAGCTTTTGTTTACATTACAATTCGGCGTGTCATTAATCAAAAATTGCTGGAAAAGCGCATTTTCTTGGGGTTTATAATTTTCGACCAAAATTCCAGGGTCGAATACCTTACATTTTACACAATTTTGTTTTTTTTTTATCTTTGAAGTATGTATGTACGTGGATACTTTTCTCCAAGTACATCAAAGATATTATTGTGAATATTTTGTATACATATATTGTGGTGTATATTAAGTTTGGATTTATTTAGCATCAGCTGAATCAAAAACAAATTTAGAAAAGTTTTTAAGATATGGAGCAATTACTTTCAAAAATACTGCATATTTGTATATTACTCATTACTCAACGGATTCGTCGCTTCATAATAATAAACGTTAAAAAAAAAAAAAAAAAAAAAAATCATTACTCAGTACTCAGCTATTACTATACTTTATTTATAGTTGAGATTCAGATGTTGAGATATCAACAGTCTGCCGACTGATTGCCGTTAACCACTTACATTACATATGTATATGATTTGTTATCTTTTTGACTACCGTCAATTTGATAACTCAAATTATTCGGTAATAAAATACGAAATCAGCCAGGTAGTCGATCATCTAGTGTGTTCATTCATTGTAATTGTTAAAGTGTTAAAGTAAGATAAGACAACATGCCACTCTTGGTAGCAAGTGGTCAAAAAGCGAACAATTGGCAACGTCTTAATACCAAATTCAACGTATAAGTCAGACCATATAATGAAGTTCATTTAAAAATGTCACACAAAAACAGATAATAACTTAAAACGTTTCGCTAATTGGAAAAACAAGACTAACCAATTTTGGAGTCCACACAGTAAACTGTAATGTTTTCTACTGTTTTCTGTTTTCAATGTATATGTACATACAGTGGGGAGCAAAAGTGATTCCACGGTCAAAGTTTTCATGTTTTGTAGCGCATAGTAGTGTTTAATATTGGTTCATTTGTAACAACAAGGCGTAAGTAATAAAGTACTTGAAGAAGCTATAGAATAGTAATAATTCAAAAACAAAAAACAGCGTTTTTACACCAGTTTTACACCATTTAAGAAAAACTACAAAATAATTTCATTATCAATATTTTGTCCAGAGACATTTGGCATACTTTTAACTAATTTTTCGAATTACACGCCCCCAAAGATCGCCCAAGTTTTCATATTTTTATATCGTACCATATCATTTTCATATCATGCCATATGTTTTCAATCGGACTGAGGTCGGGATTTTGCGCTCGCCAGTTGTGTTGGTTTTTAAATCATAACTATTCCATTTCTTATTTTTCTACTTTGCCCAACTTTGCCAAACCAGGTCTTCAACAAAAAAAAAATTGTATAATATTTATGTGAGCTCAAACATGAAAATCACTTTTGCTCCCCACTGCAATTTCTGCAATTCGGAGAATTTTATTGACTTGGCTGAAAGATTAGCATTGGGGCTGTTCTAGACTTTTCCATCATATAAAATGGTAAATTTACGGTTATAGAGGTTTTTGGGTGTTTTGTTTAAAAAAAACCAAGCGAAACTAGTTTTCTTAGCCGTCTTTCCAATTGGCAAGCCTAATATCTCGATATATAGAGATGTATCAGAAGCGATGACTAATTAAGTAACCAGACTCCAGTCGATGAGTGATATGCCATGCCAACATTAAAACTCACCGTTTTGTTCAGCTTGTAATCGCAGATGGCCTTGAGATGGGTGCAGTAACAGTGCCGGCATATGTCCACCCTGTTCTCCCTGCTTTCCCGATTCTCCCGTTGGGCGGGATCCATCAGCGCCCCACGGATTTGGGAATGGCCACCCCAAATGGGCAGACGATCGAAGCGCTCCGGATAGGTTAGTGCATCATGGACAGAAAACAAATGAAAAATGCCGAGTAGGACCAGAGTAATTCGTCGCGAATTCATTCTGTTTCTTTTTTATTTTTTCTCCACTTTTGATATGCTTTCTCAGTAAAAAAACAAGAACCTCGTCGGTCACTCCGCACTATATCACCCCACTTATTTTACGATCGCCGATCTTAGGGGCACACACTAAAACGGGGCTCTTCGTCATTCGCAGAAACTTTTTAGAAAAAACTTATAAAAAAAAAACAAAAATAATGTCTATTATACACAATGTCTTTTGTATACAATTTTTCGTTTGCGTGCGCCCAACTTGTTTCGCCGAGAAGAGCTCTTTCAGTACTGAAGTCGCATTGATCCGCCGATCAAAAACACAGAAGTGACTGTGTTCCGATTCCACTCTCTCCATGCTCTCTCGGTCGGCTCTCACGACACTATACACTGCGACTATACGACTATATGATTTGCCAAAAACTTTTTGCCACGCACACTCATATGTTTGTAAGAATATATCATATGGAAAAATCATATGATCATAAAAAAATTTCCATATTTTTTTAAAGTGTAGAAATAAGTATAGAAATTATATAGAAGTATAGAAATACCTCATAAAATTATTTCACTAAATGAAAGCTGACCAATGCATATGATTTATTGTTGGGGAATGGTGGAAGTGGAACAGTTTCGCACAGTGAAATGCCTAGAGAGCCTTTTTACCGTGCATTTTTTCTTTCACGTCTTTGTCTTTCTGTCTATCTTCTCTCTGTGTTTCTCTATCTCTCTGTCTCACTCTGTCCCTCATCGAGACGGCTGTGCTTTTAGATAAATATAATCCGCTGAACTGTTTCTTTATTTTCATGCTGGAAGCTGATTCTCTTGAGTAGATAAACCAGAGAAGAGAACAAGAAGATAACAAGGAACGCTGAAAGTGAATAAAGTAAACCCACTTATCGTGAATTTGTATGATCCAATGCATACTCCTATGACTAAAGATATGTACATATTAGAATAACAAAATGCGTACGGACATATGCTTAAACTTTGTTACATATTTGTGTTTAAGTTTATTTTATGTAATTTGTTACATTTTTCTAATACTGGTTACAAACTCTCCACAATATACATATGTGCATATATTAATATAGGTATGTATTTTATCAAATTTTAATATTTCACTGTTACAAATAGGGTAAATGTTTTCTTTATTTAATTAATGACTAAGCACTTCATATTGGGCAGATGACTTTTATTTTAATCAGAAATGTACATACATTTCAGAAATATTTAATCAATTGCTATGCCTTTACTTACTATAAGATTTATAATAAAATGTGCACCATTTTGAAAATGTTCGTGAATCTCTAAGCTAACTCAAAACCGTAGGAACTTCTCTATGAGAAAGTATTTCTTTAGGGGAAAATTGGTTAGTAAATTTAATTGAAGCCATTAGAGAGCACTGTATATTGACCCTTCTCCCCATTTTGGTGCATCTTGCACATCTTGCGGCAAATAAATTTGCGTTCAATTTAACGGCAACACGGATAGCGGAAGTTGCATAGAAAAAGAGTAAGAGAGATGTAGAGACAGAGAGTGCGAAAGAGAGAGATGATCATTCCGGGTTGAACGGAGATACGGGTTCCCCGCCACACACTTTCCGAACCACTCAATTATTACATCGTTGTATCGGTGATTTCTGTCTGAGTTTCAGTTTTCATCATGATATTTTCCTTTCCGAAAACCTCCCCGATTTCCAATACAAAAATTAACTTATAATGGGGGCGTGCGAGAGGAATCACCGGCGCTATTTGAGCGAACTCAAGCCAAACATTTCGTTTTCATTATTATGGATCAATAAAATACCCATATCAGTTAAGTGATTTTATAGCCTAAGAGTTAATTACCAGGCTTAACTGATATCCACGTTCAATTTTCAGATGATTTTTCAGGAGTGTAAGTGAACAGGAGTTTAGCGCATTTTAGATAGTTGTTTCTAAAATTCGTTTTTAATTTTATAAATTGCTGTTCATATCAATTCAATTTGTAATATTTTTGGTATGTTTCGATTTAGTTTGTATTAAATTACTTGTCCGAAATGTCTGTATTTATGACGGTTTTTCTTTCAAGTTCATGGAAACACCACGATTAATAAATATATTATATACGATATATATACAATGTATGCGATGAAATTATTAATTTTATAATTTTCTACGGTCACATTTTATTTCCTAGAGTTGAGTGTGCGATAACGAATGTCAAACTTTTTGTTTGCCTTTGTCTCTTGCCCCTCTTTCTCCCTCTGCCCCACCACTTTCATTTTGTTGTTGTTGTTTTGCCCCTTTGGACAACGCAACTCTTCCGCATTGAATGAATGAATGAATGAACGATTACATTGCCGCAATAGGGAGCACACACGACTACCCGTGGCACCCCCTCCCCACCCCCCTCGTTTGCTCCACCGCCCTTTCTATCAATGCAACTCCAGTTGGGATCCCGCAACTTGTTTCTCTGCACTTGTGCACTGAGCGAAATGCGGTGCCAACACCAGGAAACAGTATTATAATTATAATAAACATTTTTGGTAAGGATTGCAAGGAAACGAATATAAAATATTGAATATATTCCAGTTCCAAAAAGCACTTATGGGCTCATGTCAAAGTCTGGACTATCAGAAAAACATGCAAAATGTTCCTCTAAGTGTAGGCTTGAGTATGGGCTGATGGGCGTTGGTTTCAGGGGGAGAGCGGAGGAGGAGGACTGCGAGAAGGGGTAAATTACAGTGGAAACGTATTTCCCACAGGTACCACACGCACACATACTTAATTTTACACAACTGCCCTATGCTTGTTTCCATCTCTCTATCTTTGCCCCTCGTTCTTTCTTCCCCCTGTTTATCGGGTTTGTTTTGTTTTTATATTCGCCCTGAAGTGCAGGGTCGCATCCACGCGGTTGAGTGCTACAGTGCTGTAGTTGGGGTTACCCCCAACTGACATTATAATTTTCATTCGAACACTAAAACTCCACTTTTCCCATTCCCCTTTTCGTTTCCCATTACGCATTACCCATTTTTCATTTTCGTTTCCATTTCCATTTCATTTGTATTTGTTTTGTTTTTGGTATTGTTTTTTTTTGCGTTTTATGTAAATAAAAATGTGTGTACGCAGCTTTGCGTGCATTTCGGTTGTATTCCCCATCTCCTTTCCATTTCCCCCTTTTCACCCAAAAATACCACCGTTAATTTCCACCCAATTCTCCAAAGCGGAGTCACCTGTTGAACATTGGGCGTTTGAACAAGCTTTGTCAAGCTCCATTTCAAACCGTTCTACGCTCTCTAGAAGTCATGTACGTCATACATACATACTTATATTGGCGGAGACCGTGAATCACAATTACGCATTTACGTGTACATACACACAGCTGAACGTCACAAGATTAGATAGTGGGCCAATTTACAAAGATAAGAGTTATAACTGATAGTTCGACCCGTTTTTGTTCCGATGCGTGAGTGTTAAATTCGACGTCCTTTTATTTTATCACACGCTTGTGCGTGAGTGTGCCTGTCCAGTCAATCGCACACGTGCACCGCCCGCTGTGCCGTTACGTGCCCTTCGACCCTTTCCAGCCAGCCCCCCCCACTTCCAGTCGCCCTACGTGCTGCACTTCTTCCGCCTGCGAACCGCAGGTCACCCGGCGGTCCAACTTTGATGCTGTGCGTCTGATTGGATTGGATGGGATGGTATGGGATTTGCGGGCACCGCGATTCTACCTGTTCAGTTCGGGAACTCACCCCTCACCCCTTGACCCTTGACCGGGCCGAAAAGCATGACTGGAACATGGCCACTTATACTTCTACAACATTATTGCGTTAGTTGGAAAATAAGCATTTGTTGACTTCAAAGGTAAATACATACAAAATATGCAATAAAATGCGTTTCACTGCGCTTTTATCACATATTTAAGCATTGGTGCTATTTAAATGACTGAAGTGATGTAATTGATGATCTAATAATAAATATACCGTATGCAAACTTATGAAAACTCTATACCAATTCAATTGCATATGTATGTTTTACATCGTATTTTTATTCATATTACCTGGCATTTCCATCTATCTTTCCAGATCGCAGTCAAATGAGCGGCAGTTCCTCAAGGACTTTATCAGCGGGGCGCCAGGATCGTCGGGCGCCCGTTTGGCCGCCTGGTTGCAGCCGGAGTCCAGACTGGATCCCAATAAGTAGGTTGCCCAAGCCCATGTCCACAATCCCAAAATATAGGAATACTGTATTCCCCATTAATTCTCCGCCTTGTCCTCCAGATGTGAGCTGAACACCATCACGGAGCCACTGCGCTACGGTTGGCCCTCCCAGGTGACGGTCACCATACGGGATCAGTATGGGGATGCGGTTCTGGTGCCGGAACTCAAGGTGGAAATCAAGGCGATACCCACGGGTTCGGGTCCGAATGGCAGTGCCACCGGAACGGGACCGTCCGGCACATCGGCGGCCGGAGTATCGGCACCCGGTCCGAATCTTTGGATGCGTCGCGCCTCCGGTGACACCTGGGGCTGGGGCGGAATGGCGCCACCACCGCGCCTCAACTACGAGCCCACCTCCAAGGAGAAGATGGTCTTCAAGGCGATTACCTTCATGAAGCCCTACACCAACTATTCGTTCGAGGAGCTGCGCTATGCGAGTCCGGTGCAAACGCGCGTCACGGAGCTGCTCAACGCCAAGGACATGGAGGATGGCACCTTCAGTGTCCAGTGGACGCCCAGTTCAGTGGGCGCCTACTGCCTGGCGGTCACCATCGATGGCATACCGCTGGAGGAGGTCTACCGCGTGGACGTCAAGGAGGGCATTCTCCCGCCGCCCACTCAGAGGACCAGCGCCCAGCGAAGACCACAAGCGCCCAGCAAACTGCGTCGCTTTCAGGTAACAGTCCGCCATATCTTTTCCATATTCCGGGTCAAGGCATGCAGTCAGATAATGACTAAGTCCCCATATGTGAATAATTTTACCTTCTTATGTAAGATCGGCTTAAATCGCATTTAATCCCAATACCGATTTCAGGCTCGTCACAGTTCGGGACTGCGGATACGATCCCATCCCACGCTGCAGTCGGAGCAGGTGGGCGTGGTGCGGGTGGGCGGCGTGATCTCGTTCATCGACGAGATCGAGAACGACGATGGCGTCTGGCTGCGCCTATCGACGGAGTCCATACGGCAGCACTGCACCATGGGCTGGTATCCGACGGAGGCGTGGTGCTTGCAGTTCAATCAGCACCTGGCCAGGATGCTCCTGCAGCCGATCAGCGACAAGGAGGTGAATCCAGTGCGGAAGGGCGCGGCGGCCGAGGAAGAGGAGGAGGAGCAACCGCCTGCAACTCCGTCGGCCAGTGGCGAGGCGAGTCCCGAACCAGAACCGGATCCCAGTCCAGTGCTGAGTCCGGCCAAGGCCAAGACAGGCCGCTTCCTTGCCGGTCACCAGTCCACCAATCCCTTCCTCTACCCAGCGAAGCACATCGATCTCGCGGAACGGGAGGCCCAAGTGCAGGAGGAGCGCGAGAAGGAGCAGGAGCAGGTGCTGGATGAGGATGCCGACGATCGAGAGCCGGAACAGGAGGCACTGCCCGCCGTTGAACTACTGCCCGCCCACATAGGATCCGCCATAGCTGGCGTCGTTGGCGGCGGAGCCATCAAGTTGCAGGCCCTGCAGAAGTGGTTCAAGGGCGACGCTGTCGATGGATCCCAACCCCTAACGCCGTCACATTCGCCTCCGCTTGGCGGAGTGTCGGTGCGCGAGCTGGTGCGAGCGATGGGTGGTCAGGACTCGCCACGCGGCAATGGCAATCGCAGCCAGCAGGAGCAGGATCCGGAATTCAGTCTGGCCAGCATGAGGAGACCCAACTATTCGGCCAGTCAAACGGCGGCGCTGCTCTCCACCCCGAAGCATACGCCCAAACGGAGTGCCGTTGTGCCCAGCGAAACCAGTGGCTTCGATGACGAGCTGAGCCTCTTGCAGATTACCACGACGACGACGGGTCAGGGGGAGCAGCAAAGCGAACTGCAGCTGGCCACCACTTCCACTGCTTCCACTGCTTCCTCGGCTGCCAAGCGGAGCGCCATAGGGCCAATCAAGCGGGCCATGCCTCCTTCATTCGCGGAGAGCATCCGTGCGGTGTTTGCAGCCCTCCTCTGGCACGAAGGCGTCGTCCACGATGCCATGGCCTGTGCCAGTTTCCTCAAGTTCCATCCCGGCTTGCCCAAGGAGGGCGCCACAGTGGTCACGCGGCGCGGCGAGGCCGGCGATCCTAGGCTGCAGCTATCGCGGGAGCAGAAGGCCCAGCAGCGGCACTCCGTGGAGGTGGCCAATGCGGGTAACTACCTGAACATCCGGCCGAGCACGTTGGAAACGCTCACTAAGAGTGGCAACTGCTCGCTGCACAATCGCAGCAAGTATCGGAAGAATCTTCTAAGCGGTGCTGGCGGAGCCATCAATTCCGGCGAGGATCCGGCCCAGAAATTGCAGGCTCTGCCCGAAATGGTGAGCGTTTTGCCGCCGGCTCTGCGATGCCTGGTCTATTTGTGGGAGCAGATCTGCTCCGGCTGCGTGCAGATTGTACAGTCGAATGCCTTGGAGCAGAGGGAGCCGCGGCTGCTCTCACCCGGAGGTCGAGATCTTAACGGAGATGCGGACACAGAGGGCAAGGAGGGCAAAAACTCGGACCAGGGTTCCGCTGCGGAGAAGGATCTGGGCAGGAAGTGCAAGCGCAAAAAGAAGGACGACGGCAGCTGGTGCGAAATCTGCGAGCTATTCCTGCCCATGCCCGTCACCTATCACATGAGGATTGCCCATCCCGGCTGCGGTAAATCGGCCAAGGGCAAGGGCTACAATTCCGTGGGCATCTTCTGCGAGGGATGGGCTGGCAACTGCGGCGAGGGCGGCAAGGGTGCCTCGTCCTGGTTCCTGATGTGCGATCCCTGCCGGGATCGTTATCTCGCCTCCTGCCGCAGCGTCAACAACATCAACAGTGCCGCCCGTCAGCTGGAGTCCAGTGCCGCCGAAGGTGAGTCTTCCGCTGCCCACTATGTGCACCATTGCAATCCTAATCCTTATCGTTCTTGCAGGAAACGAACTGAATCTGTTTGGTGTGAAGTCCACCACACTGATAGCCAATGCTGAGGTGTACACCACGATGCGCGAGAACGCCACATTCCTGCTGGAGCTCTGCTCCAGTTCCAGTTCAGCATCCGGGGGAGCAGGCAGCCTGGCCGCCAGCAGCTCCGCCGCCAAGCGCTCTCCACAGCAAATGTCCGTGGTGGCCATGCCCGTGGTGATCGAGCACCAGCTGGGCAACTCCGATCTGAAGCCGAGCACCAGTCGTTGCAGCCGTATGGCGCGGTTGAGTGGCTCCAAATTCTGTCCAGGTGTGGGTGGCGGAGCTTTCCGCAAGAGCTTTGTGGGCGGCCCACCGGTGGCGCCGGAGAACGTGTGGATGGCGCCGGAGAGCTTCGCCTGCCTGGAGTGCCTGGGCACCGCTGGGCACGAGGATCTGCCATACGAAATGTTTGGTCTGGGGCCCAACTCGAATGACAATGGCTACGATAGGGTGAGTTTTAAATGGCTATAGTAAGTCCTTTTCCAACTAAATCCTACCGTTTAACTACCCGCCCGCAGCCGCTGTCGGAGATCTCCTACGAGTCCTGCGAACCGAACAACTACGAGCTGCTCTCCGGCTCCCTGGCGCCAGGAACCGCAGCCGCCGGCGCGGTGGGTGGTGGCAATCTGTCCAAGTTCCATCGCAGCTACTCGATGGGCCAGGGCTGGGCATCGCTGGCCCAGCATAACCAGCCGCAGTCGCACCACCCACAGCAGCAGCACCACCAGCAGCAGCAGCAGTTGCACCTGCAGCTGCAGCAGCACCAGGTGCCACCGGTGGAGGGTCAGCCGAAGGTGGTTTACAGGCGCAGGAACAACTCCACCAGCGAAGGCGATGGATCTCTGCTGATTTGCTATCCCTCGGAGCATCTGCGTCGCCTGGTGCCGCCAAAGCTGCTGGCCAGCGTTTCCGTTATGCAGACAGCCAGCGGCGACGGAACCGGCAAGGAACATGCCTCTGGCACGCTGGGATTTGACCAGTCAGCTGGCCAAAACGGAGGAGGCAACCTGCTGCTCAGCCGTCCCGCCATGGCGTTCATCACTCAAAAACACGAACTGGACCGACTGAGGGCAGCCATGCGAAGGAGCTTGCGGATCGCTGCCTGCAGGATTTACGCCCTGCAAGCGCTCAACTGGCTCCTGCGCAGTGTCACCCAGGGTGTGTGCCTGCACGATCTGATGTGGTGGTTTGTGAGCTCCCTGAATGCCACTGGCGGCCAGCAGCCAGAGGGCAGGGGCGAGGAGGCCGCCGAGCCTGCCCTGGAGCATCCAGTGGCCTATACCCAGATCAGCGGCAGATTCGCCCATCTGATCACCCAGTCCCTGCACGTGCTTTTGCAATCCGTGGCGGACTTAACGCTCCACCTGCCACTCGGATCGCCATTGCAGCGGGTTGCTATCCAGTGCTTTGGCATCCGTTTTCGCCAGGCGGATCATCAGTTCCTGCATAGCTCGCATGTATTTGGAAACATCTCGAAGATATTGTCCAAGTCGGATGAGCAGAACGACGCCATGGCCGTTT